CGGATGTCATTTGGAAATAACAATAAAAATATGTTTTCAGTGTTTGATAATCAGACAAATCTTTTATTATACAGATTTTGTAGTTGTCTTCAAAAGTTTTTATAAATAGAAATCACATTAAACTTGATTTTGATTTATAGTGTATTGAAAGAGGAATAAAAAATATTGATAAACAGGAAAATTGAGTGAAAAGGCCCTCAAGTGATGCCTATGTTCTCATTAATTGAGACACCGATGAGATCGTTGTCCTAATTGTACAAAACTTACAAACACTTTGAATTATAGAAAAGTTTTAAACTCAACAAAAAACAAGTGATATTTAAAATGAAAAATATAAGCGTAAGACAAATTTAAGTAATAGATTGTAATCTTCATTATAATTAATGAATTGTATTTTCTTTGGATCAGTTGTTTGCGATATTACTCTACACCTCAACCCTACTGTTGTTAATCCAGATGTCGTGGTGTGACTCGTGGTCGCCATATCGGGGACCGACCAAAAAGCCGCCGCTTTTCACAGTATTTGATTTGCTTAACAATCCGGACGGGGAGGTCGTGGGCGGCCAATACATCCGCCGGTGCCGTATATGTGATATGCCCCGACTCTTTCTGGCGCTCAGAAAATAGCCTTCATTTAAGTTCAACTCAATTCACAATTTCACTATCGCCTTGAAATTTGATACCATTTTTACGTTATTTCCTTTAAATACTATTTTTTAGAGGCCATCGATTGTCGGAAAAAAAGTTTTGTACTATTCTTAAAATTGTTTGAAAAATATTTTTATGTCTTAAAATGACTTCAATTCAACCAAATTTTCTTCTATTCCTGTTTTTATAGTAAATATTAATGTTTTTGCAAAACTGTTGCGAATTATTTTAATTCACAACATTTTCCCGATCTTTTCAAAAGTTTTTTCCCATCAATTATAACATTATTTCTATATAAATAAATAAAACTTATTATTTGCTTTAAAATGTTATTAAACAGTATATTTGTATGAAATAAACAATTATTACAAACTTATAAAAAAGCTTTAATTAATTAAATAAACTAAATATCCATTTAATAGTTTTAAAATATGGGATGAATTTTAAGCATTAATAAAATGCAATAAAATTGTAATCTTATTTGAAACGATTGTTTGAATTAAGTTTTAACACAAACGCCGATTGTATGGCCAATAGTGTGGCACTCATTCACACCACAAATTCATATAATCAATGAGTATATTGTAGTCATTAAAATAACTACATGTTTATATTATAGCTGTTTAACTATTGCTAACTCTTCAGTACAGTATAGATATAAGCTCATGGTAAACACTAATTCTAACTTAGAATTTACAAACAATTTGCAAGCATTCTAGAATCGATTCTAGAATCCAGAATCGGGATCCAAACGTGAACATGTTGAAATCATATTTGAATAAATAATGTAAAACGAAAAACGTACTAGCTTAACAAACTGATTAGAGTGACCGCTGGTCACCCACAATATTATGTAATATTTGGTCAATTAGTTAATTATAGTTATAATAAAGTAATCAATCGATTGATTGCATGCGAGAAGTGATGTAATGGTAAACAGAGTTGACGTGATTTGTGCGAAAAGGCGTCACTTTTGTAGACATTGAAAATGTTTTGTAAACAATATTTTTGATCACATTTTTGAGGCAATTATTTAAACACATATTTTTATATCCAATTATCTATGGATTGATTGGATGTCTGGTTTGGACTGAAGATGATGTCCGCCGACGACAAGAGAGCGATGAATGAAATGCAAAGATTGGCCCAAATTTGCCGCAAAGAAGAGACAAATCTATTGATCGGAAAATTGGAGTTAACTCTCAATCAATCACTCATTGAATTGCTTTACAATGACTTGAATTCAAGCAATAATTGCAATATTAATAACGTTTACATTAAATACAATTATTTGCGAAAACTGTTTCGCAAAATACCATCCGTTAAGATAATCGGTGACAACAAACTCACCGCCGATTCAGACACTATCTCTTTGCGTGGCTTCGAGTCATGCGTTTCCCTACAACTGATCCGAATTGCGTTCAAACGAGTGGTCGCTTTGCAGACAATTAGATCACAAGTAAAGTCATTGAATTGTTTGAAGTGTTTCGACACTTATGTCTTGGATCAAGAGTTTTGGGACCTGTTTGGCGTTTGGCCACAACTATCGGCCCTCAACTTTAGCCATAATAACATCGTTTCGCTGAACGAATTGATGATTCCCTCGACGGTTAACGTCTTGGACTTGAGTTGGAATCGGATCCAAGTGTTCAATAATGTCGAATCCTATTCGGCCATCAGTTTAACGAAACTGGATTTGAGTTACAATTGTCTGACACAAGTGCCAAAACTTAGCTCAAGTTGTTGTCAATCATTGGAATCGCTTTTCTTGAGAGGAAATCTCATTGAAAGCATTGAAGGCATCGATAAGTTTGAAAAACTCGCAAAATTAGACGTCGCTCTCAATTGTCTCATGGATTTGAAAACAATTATTTCGTGTCTAAAGACTTGCAAATCGTTGAGGAGTTTATGGATCGGCGGAAACCCTTTTGCATGTCATAAGAATTGCTTTGAAATTATCACAAAAGAAATGCCTTTTTTGACAAAATTGAATGAAATTGTCGTCAATAGAGACAGAGATCAACAAAATATCATCACTTTTGACAATAAAACAGTAGTTTTAGGGAAAGAAGTGTCAAATTCCAAGTCAGACGACGAATGCGAGCTATTCTTCGACGCCTCCTGTGATTCAATGGATTCCAGTGCCAGAAGTGATGCCAAATCTAAAACTAAAAAGTTAAGAGTCGTTGAGATCAAAGAGCAAACCGAAGAATTAGACGAAGAGGTGCGACAACTTGTGGTCAAACCAAACGAATCCAATGATAAAAAGTACGAAAACTTGAGTGAAGCAAAAGAGATGATCCAAAAGCGTAACGAATTGGGAGACGAGTGGTTGATCTCTTGGCGACCGAGTCTTCAGAATTCGTCGTTTTTCGCACAAATCTATGAAAACAAAGAAGAAGTGAACACTTCTATAGCGAGTGATTTGAAGTCAATAAATTTGGATAATAATCCTCCGCCGGTCGCGGAGTCCACACCAAAAGTGGACCGAAAACAGTCCACTGAAAGCACTAACGACGACGACATCGAGATTCTCTCCGAAGAGACGAGTGAATGGACTCATAAAGAGCTCGAAAACGACATGAATATTATTATTGTTGAAAATATGGACACAAATGAAACCATTTTTGTTTATGTGGACGAAAAGCACGGATTGCTGTTTGAGAAGGACTTCGAGGGAAAAGTGTTGAGAAATCATGACTTGAAAGTGTTGACAAACGTTGAGATTATTAACGATTTAGCGCTTAAGATATTCTTTGATTCGAGAGTCACTTCCAAACGCGAAGTGAAATATCAATTTGATTGCATTGAGTCGTGTCTGGAATTTAACGAAAAGTTTATAATTCCGTGGTTTTCCAAAAGCAAACAAATTATTAGCGAAGAACACGAATACGAATGCCTTAAATGTGGTAATACTAAACTCAGTTCTTCGCACGTCATCTGTTGTCCCATCTGTGGAAGCGATGCCATTATGAAGATGAACGACGAGAAGCGGAAGCGTCGAAGTGGTAGTGATATCACTATTTTAAGTCAAGCCAATGTTCAAAACCAAACACAACTCAATACAAGTGATATTCACGAGAATAATGTTTGGGAGGAATTGTTTTCGATTAACAGCTCTTATGATGACTCGTTCTTCACACGAGTAGAACACACTCTCAAACTCTATATTGAAGTGAAACTCTTTGAGGCCTCTTCTGGTGATGACGAAGAGATTGAAGGATTGGTTAAATGTAAAGCAATGACTGATACACAGAATCGCTTGGAATCGTCTTATTTAGTCATTTCTAACAAAAATATATTGATTCTAACGGTTGATGAGAACCAGGATTGCGATAATTTCGATGTTTCTCTTAAACTCAATATTTCAAAACCCATTTCAGCGATAATGCAATTGAAAGAGTTTCCACATTTGCTAACTAATCAGGGATTTTGGATTGAATTTAACGACGAACCCAAACAAACCGCAACTAAACCACAATCAAAATCAAAAGCTAACAGATTTGGTTCAAAGAGACCGTCAATTGCGGAGACAAACGATTCGTGTTTCGCTTTAATTGTGTTTTACGATGAAATCATTGGCAAAACATTTATTAAATATTTCAACGAAACAATTGGGAAATTAGTTAAGATTCCAACCATTCGTAATACAAATCAAAATGTATTGATCGATAACAACATCATTGCTGTTAACGACGATATGGTTGTCGTAAATATAATAAAATCGGCGAATTATAAGCGAATTGATATGAAAAGTGATTTGATTTTAGAGCAGAATATTGCGCTAATAATCACCGAAGAGTTAGTGATTTTAGGAGAGTTTTGTTTTCATCCCAACAATGATTACATAATTAAGATCTTATACAAGGAATACATTATTAATTTAATGCCAGAGATTTATGTTAATCTGAAGCAGAATTGTATGAAACTATTATTCACTGACACAGACATTGAAACACATTTTGAGATCAATTTATTTACAAGTGATGTGATTAAGAAATCATTGATTCCCATCAAAAGCCAGTGGGAAAAGGCTTTCGATGTGTCCATGACTTTCAAGAAGATGTAATACAAAACTTATAATTTATTATTTGATAAATATTTTTACATTTTAGGCAATATATTCTATACAAGAGTTTTAATTATTTATAACAAATATTGTATAAAATTTATATTACAAAGTTGTGTATAAATAAAATGGTTTTATTCCTTTAGTTATAAATAGACGAACATTTTTCTATTAAATATTAATAATTACCGGTTTAAATAAAATATATATTATTTATTATGACTATTATTCTTACATTTAACTTAATGATAAACGACAGCATTAATAGAATATAAATAATGTAATGAATGGTAAATTTATTTTTATGTCATTGAAGTCAATTGTTACATGAATTGAAATTATTTTCAATATTTAAATTGTATTAATACTGTATCAGTGATTCATGAAATCAATGAAATGCTTATGCATTACAATGTATCCAAATTATTGACTAAATCTTAAGTGCGGATAAAGTTTTATAACTTTTAAATTGTTGTCTCATTGTATGAGAAGAGATGAATATGTGATATAACAACACATATCAGCAAATTATTGTTGAAAAAAGTTTTAATTATGATTTAATTTATAAAATAAATGAAATAAAGTAATTGTTTAGAAATGAATGAATGCTATAAAATGCAAAAATGCATGGCTTGTAGTGTCGGTGTATGTGTAGTGCCGGGAATGGGAGCGGGAATGGGAAGAGTAGGGAGTAATGTGTGGCGAATGTGTGTAGGAATGGAGAGCACATTGAAAGTGGAGATTGTGTTGATTTGTTGGCAAACATTACTCGCAATGAATACGAGAATTGTGTGAATGAAACCAATGTTTGCACTAATTGTTCGCCATTTGAATAGCTATTCATTCATTCAATTGATTTCCACGACTACTATATATTGTGGCAAAGAGTGGCACCAATTGATCCATTGATGACCAATCAATTGACACCACAATCGACACAACCATTCAAACCGTACACCAAATTCACACACGTTTTGAAATAATAATTGTTTTTTCGTAGTTTTGTTACCATTTTTTTACGTCTATTTCAAAGCGAATACTAAACCAGTGTTTGATTTGATTGTCATTTGAATCGCGTTTTGCTAATCAAACACTCGTTTCATATAATAATCGCTTTTCGAGTATTTCTTTTTGATAAACAAAAGCAACGATTCATTCGTATGACAAGCGATGGCACAGAAGAGCGACCCGTCGGCTGAAGACTCGTTGTGTGCGGGAGTGGCCAACATTGGTCTCAATGTGATGGCACCGGTATTCGTGCCTTCATTCCCTGTCCCGCAAAATGTCAACAATTGTGACAACGGTTTGGACGCAACGCCTCCCGAAGAGGTGCCCAATAATAGCCATTCGTTGAACAATAGCCATAAGAACAGTACCGAAGAAGTGGTCGACGACTGGGAGGCGAACGCCGACGACGACGACGAAGAGGAGGACGACAACGACGACGGTATTCATCCATTCAATCGCTTTCTCATGTCTTTTACAACTGAAAGTGATTTTCGCTTTCAATTGAAACCAAACACTTAAACCGATAATGAATTGCATTTTTCTGTTTAATTAATTGCAAAATATTTAATGAAATATTAAATGATTTGCAATTTATTTGTGACGCTTTTTAACCTCTAATTGTATTGAGAAAAATAATTAACTGTTATTTTCAATGAATCAAATGATTGCCAAATCATTAATTGATTGAATTATTGTCCCAAATGTTACGTTTAAACGGAGATTTGATTGCATTTTGGAAGTGTTTGTATAATTGAATTGATATTTAATTGAATGGTTTGAGTGTTTGAGTCATTTCAATGTCTAATATTCTAACGTATTTCAGATGAAGAGGCGGACGACACGATTGAAGGAGAGGCCGGAGAGGCGAGCGAAAAGGCTAAGACCCAAAAGGGACGCAAAACGAAGCGAAAGGCGCACAAAGCGTTGTCCAATGATGGCAGTCCGAAGAAGGATCACTTAAATATGGTATTCATCGGTCACGTGGACGCCGGCAAGTCTACTATCGGAGGACAACTGCTTTACTTGACGGGAATGGTTGACAAACGAACGCTCGAGAAGTACGAGAGAGAGGCCAAAGAGAAGAACAGGGAGTCGTGGTATCTGTCGTGGGCTTTGGACACCAATCAAGAGGAACGCGACAAAGGAAAGACTGTGGAAGTGGGCCGCGCCTACTTCGAGACCAAAAACAAACACTTTACACTATTAGACGCACCCGGTATGACAGCGTCACCCCTCTCTCCAATACGTTTATGTATTGATTGTATTGTAACTGAATTGCAGGCCATCGAGGCTTTGTGCCGAACATGATCGGCGGCGCGTGTCAGGCAGACCTTTCCGTTCTCGTCATATCCGCCCGTAAAGGAGAGTTTGAAACCGGCTTTGAAAGGGGCGGTCAGACCCGAGAGCACGCTATGTTGGCCAAGACTGCCGGTTCGACCACTTATTCTTGAATGCCATTTAGTGTTCACTTTACTCACTGTCTATCTCTTATGATTACGAACTCAGGCGTCAAACATATGGTAGTTCTCATCAATAAGATGGACGACCCGACCGTTGAATGGAGTGAATCGCGTTATAACGAGTGCTGTGAAAAGCTTCTTCCATACCTGAAAAAGTGTGGATTCAATCCGAAAAATGAAATCTATTTCATGCCGTGTTCGGGATTGACCGGAGCTTTCCTTAGAGAACCCCTCGATGAGTCCCTGTGTTCGTGGTTTAGGTTTGTCTCAATCCACTCGTTATTATGAATACTGTTTCTAATGGATGAATGCATTGACGCAGAGGTCCATCATTTCTCGATTACATCGATGCTCTGCCGGTGTGGTCGCGTCACGTGGACGGCCCCTTCCGGTTGCCGGTTGTGGACAAATACAAAGACATGGGAACCGTTATATTCGGAAAAGTGGAGAGCGGTTGCACTCGAAGGGGCGCTCAACTCATGCTAATGCCTAATAGAAAACAAGTAGAGGTTCTGCAGCTGTGGACTGACGAGGAAGAGGTAAATCAAGTGAGTTCTGGAGAAAATGTCAAAATCAAACTGAAAGGCGTTGAGGAGGAAGAGGTGACCGCAGGGTTTGTCTTATGCGATGCGTCGGCGCCCTGTAATGTGGGCCGCATTTTCGACGCACAGGTGGCTATTCTGGAGCACAAGTCTATCATATGTCCGGGTTATTCGGCTGTCCTTCACATCCATTGTGCCGTCGAAGAGATTAGTGTCAAAGCAATCATCGACTTAATGGACAAGAAGACCGGCAAAAGGGCGAGGGTTTGTATAGATTGGCTTTAATGGTATGAATGTATTGATTGATTGAATTGATTGATCGATAGGTACATCCGAGGTTCGTAAAGCAGGATCAGGTGGCGCTCATGCGACTGGAGTGCTCGGGAGGCCTCATATGTATGGAACCGTTCTCTCAGTTCCAGCAAATGGGAAGGTTTACGCTGAGAGACGAGGGAAAGACTATTGCGATCGGAAAAGTGTTGAAAGTTGTCGAATGACTATCAAAGGCGAGAAGACCTGACTTTGGCTTTTCGGCTCCAGACATGACAGCGGATGAGATGAACAGTAAAAAGAGCAGAAAGTGTTAAACATTTTTTAATAAATAAAAAGAACTGATAAATGATTCGTGTATTTGTTTATAAAGTCTTCGTTTTTATTGAGAAAGAAGTTAAAATTTAAAATGTATTTCTCAGAAATATTCTTAAGAAAAGCTTTTATGCAAACAAATCAATTGTTTAATCAAATGAGTGCTTTTACACCATAATTGTAATAAAAGCTTTCATTTTATATATAATTATTATTAAAAACAATATACTCTTCAATCGAGTTCTACTTCTTCGGCCTTTTGTTGACTCCTAGAGTTGAGGGCACGACTCGGACCCGCACTCCCATTAGCCGACTGTTCGTCTTCACTGTCTTCAGTGAACAGGGATTGTATAAAATTACCGAAGAATCCCTGCGGACCGCCGCCTCTCGACGCCTTCTCGATGCCGAAGTAGATGTGACCGATTTGGGACAAGTAGTCCGTATACGACGGGTCCCGCCGTAGTGTCGTTCCGTATAAATCAATCAACAATTTAAAAGTTTGCATTTTCCCACTATTTGTCACAAATAAATGCAATCATTAGCAAAAATATTAGCTTTTAAAACAATTAAGATATGAAGACATACCTCTCAATAGCCAGCAATAGAAATGACAAAAAGTTTAATAACGGCAACAAAAAGGGAGGATTTGGGCTATTAATGGATGGATGTCTGGAAGTGTAGGCGTGAAAGGTCTGGTCGGCCATCGTTTTGTTGCGAACACAAAGCACTTGAAGAACAAATTGTCCGATAAATAGATCCACTTCTGACGGATAGCCAAGAGTTGTCTGATACTCGACTAACATGAGAGCGCAGTCAACGCCCGAATCGGATGAGTGGACAAAATGCTGTCGCGATTCCAAGAAGTTCTTCTCACGCCATAAGACGACCGCAAACTGACGCCTAATGGCAGCCATAGACAGGAAATCCAATTTCACGGCATTTCCAACGAATGTCACTCTTTCGGGACTTTTGGCCGGAATTAACTCAAAAAGACTTCTGATATTAATCAAGAGTTGATCGCAAGCGACGATCGGTTCGCCAGCAGTTGTCTTGTTATTGGTTTCTACCAGAAGTTGAACGTAAAGAGTGGCCAAATCGGCGCCCGAATTGTGTTGTCTGGATGTCAACAAACGGATCGCTCCGTCGAATAGGAGTTGAGATAATTGTAAATGTCTTTTGTCTCTCAGGAGTCGGAAATACAAAGTCCTATAGATTTGGTGCGATTCGTAATAGTCTTCGCTTTCAAGACATTTGTTTAATTTGATTAACAGTCTCTCCGAAGACATCCTATACTCGCGACCAATCAGACAATCATACCATCAATTAGTGGTCCAATCAATCAAAACAGGCGTTCAGTCAATGCATACCTCTCTTCCAAATGTGTGTCAAGTCTTGTAATCACAATCGCATTGAGTGTACAATCAATTCAAACCCAATTCACTGTTGATTACAATTAAATCAGTCATACATTCACTCAATAAATACGTGTTTTTCTCATGTCTTAACACTTTATTGCTTAACAATTATATAATGAGTCCAATCGTTGGGCACTTTCTGTAGAAACTATTCAGTCATTCACTGCCTATGCGTTGAACACAAGTCTCGGAATCGCAGCCAATGTTTACACCAATCGTTTAAAAAGACATTTAAATGTGTTTTTTTATTTGTTATTGACTTTTGAGTTAACTTTTCATTCATTTCAATGCAAACAACACTTCAAACCCAAAGACGAGTCTATCGTTTGAATTCAATGTGAATTGAAGTCCACTTTGCGATCGCATCCCAAGACATAGAGTGACACCAAATCGATGGCAACGATTCGTCGCTTCTTCTCGCCGATTGTCACCGCGAATCGGTTCCGTGTCTTCACCGCTAAGCACGTGATGAGCCGCCCGTATGTGAAGAGCTTATACGAAGACGCGTTCACATTGGATGCCATCTCTTCGCCCATTGCCTCCAATGAGACCAAAATGATTAACGGTTTGATGAGACAAATGAATTGATTTACGTGTCATTGTTTTTAACCAATCATTTGGTGGCAACTCTTAGGCAATGTCTTCAGTAACCCGAATGTGGAGTTCGGGACCAAACGGTTCTATAGGGGAAGAGTGAAGGGAGTGGTGTTTGATTGGGGCGGAACTGTTGTGGACGCCGGTGTCTGCGCCCCCATCTATACCTTCGTCGAGCTCTTCAAGAGTGAAGGCGTCGACATTAACGAAGGTCTGTATCGTGTGGTCATCGCTTCAACACTTGATCCGCTCATAAATAGCACTGTTTTTGTTTGAATACATACTTACCTGTGGTTTATTCGCCGCTCAGATGAGGCCCGAACTATAATCGGTTCCAACCGTAAGACAAACATCGCGCAAATCCTGGACAAGGAAGCGGTGCGCAAGCGTTGGATTGAGGCCAACGGCAAAGAGCCCACCTCTGAAGATGTGGAGCGGATGTACGAGAACTTTATACCACACGTGTTGTCGAGTCTCACGAAATACAGTAATGTTATCGAAGGAGTGGCAGAAGTGGTCAATGTCTAGTCTTTTCGCGGAAAGTTAGACTTTTAGCCGCGTTGCTGACCAATAGGGTTTCTTCATGAGTTTTATGATAACTTACGGTCGTCATGAGTTCCAAACCATATCTTTAGTATAATTATAAATTTATTTTGTTAATTAATATTTGTTTTCGTAAAGGTTTTACTCCGGATGAGTCCATATGCTTGGGAGAAGTGCCCGAATCGGTTGCAATGACCAATCCATCGCCATATATGCTGTGGTTATGCGCCATAAGACTCGGTCTTTCGCCCATTGAATGTATTTATTAATATTTATAAAAATATTATTTATGTGTTTCTATTAAATGAATTTGTATTAAAGCCATTGTAAAAGTGGACGATTCTATCAACGGTATAGCAGAGGGTCTATTGGCCGGCGCGTGGACTGTCGGAATCGCTAAGACATCTGTATTTGACATATTAATTAGTATGCAATAGAAATGATAACTCACTTATTATTGCTTTCAGTCTTATGTTGGACTAAATGAGCAACAATTGGAAGAACTAAAGTCAACAGAACTACGGATCCGATTACAGCGCGCTTA